GAAGCAGAATTCGGTAAGCGTTGGATTGTTCACCCACTAATAGGGAACGTGAGCTGGGTTTAGACCGTCGTGAGACAGGTTAGTTTTACCCTACTGATGAAGGTCGCCGCAACGGTAATTTCAATTTAGTACGAGAGGAACCGTTGATTCAGATAATTGGTTTTTGCGGCTGTCTGACCAGGCAGTGCCGCGACGCTACCATCTGCCGGATAATGGCTGAACGCCTCTAAGTCAGAATCCGTGCCGGAACGCGGCGATGTAGCCCCGCACGTCGTAGTTGGATACGAATAGGCCTCCGGGCCATGCACCTCAGCAGGCTGGCGACGGCTCCCGGGGGAGAAACCCCCGGGGGCTGGCTGGCGGATTGCAATGTCACCTCGCGCGGGGATGAATCCTCTGCAGACGACTGAAGTGACCAAGCGGGTCGTGTAAGCGGTCAAGTAGCCTTGTTGCTACGAGTCGCTGAGCGTCAGCCCGATCCTTGGCTAGATTTGTTGGCAAACACCTCCCACCAACGGGTCCGGCAGCGCCGGGCGCTTGGAGGGGGCCAGACACCCTTCTCCGGAGACGCGGGGGACCGGCGACGACCGGTTCCCTCGGATCTCCACCCTCCATGGGACCACGCCAGTTGGCGGTCCGAGATGGCCGGGCGCGCGCCCTGACCGGCAGCAGGGGCCGCGCGCGCCGCCGCCTGGTGACGAAGGGCGGTGGCCAGTTGGCCGGGCACATGGCCGCGTGGGAGGCGCGCGGTCTGCCAGCGAAAGTGGGCCTCCCCCGGAACGACTTTCGGACCCGGGAACGTTTGCCCGCACGATGGGGGCCGGTCGAGGTCGGTGGGTATGTGTAAGGAAGGGCCGTCGGAGGCGCGCGCGCGGGGGTCGAGGAGGTCGAGGTCGAGGGAGTTGGGCCGGGGCGCGCGCGCTCGTAGCGAGCAGAGAGCCGCGCGCGCGCGCACCGTCATAGGGACCGGGGGCCGGCGCCGGCGAGGACCGGCAGGGTGCGCGCGCGAGCGAGGGGACGAGGGAGGGAGGGAGGGGGCGCGCGCAGGGCGCGCGGTGGGGAGGGCGGCGGCCAGTTGGCTGGCCGAGTTGGCGCGGTGGGAGGCCGCGCGCGGGGGCCGGGTCCGGCGCGGACGGGTTGGTGGAGGGTGGGCCGGTGACCAGTTGGCGGGGGGCCCTTGGGGGGCAGACCGGCAGGCAGGCGCGCGCCATAGACAGACACTTGTAGAGACACACAGACACCGGGTCGGTATAGGCCGCGCGCGCGCGCCCGGGGGTGACCAGTTGGCCCGCGCGCCCTTATCGGCACCGGAGACGCGCGCGCCATATACGGACACTTGTAGAGACACGCACATGGTCATCGGTCTCGACATACGTCGGCATGGCCCGCCAGGTGGCATCCATCCATCCATAGACACAGACACCCGTATGCATATATATATATATATATACACGCACACGCCCCTCGCATGCATGCACCCCCAGACATCTGCACCGATCCAGGTCGGCATGGCCACCGGTGCCATACCTACCTATATAGATATATAGATATATAGATATGTAGATATGTAGATATATATACGGACACACGGACACCGGGTCGATATTGTCATGGGGCGGACGGCCTAGGGGGTTGTTGGTATAGAAGCATGTTCGAGGCGAATGATTCCGAGGGGAATCATCATTGGAACCTTTTTGGTCTTGGGGTTAGTAGCTGCCTAGAACACTACTTCCTTACAGATATAGGCCGGGCGCGCGCGCGCCATATACCGGCCACTTATCGAGACACACAGGCACTGGGGTCAATGGAAGCCGGGCGCGCGCGCCCGGGGTGACCAGTTGGCGGGACCCTTGGGGGGGCAGACCGGCAGGCGGGCAGGAGGAGGCCAGGGGCCGGCGCCGTTGGCCAGGACCGGCCCTGCGCGCGCGCGCGAGACGGCGCGAGTTGACCAAGTCCCTTGCGGCCCAAGCAACGGGCGAACCTGAGAGGCCCACTTTGTATGGGCGCGCGGGTTGACGCACGGACCACCCATACAAAACGGGCCCCCGCCAGCCAGGTCCGGACCCGGGAACGTTTGCCCGCACGATGTCGGCCCGGTCGAGGTCGGTGGTTCTATGTGGAAGGCGAGAGCCGCGTCACCTCTGGTGGCGTGCGAGCTCTGCGCCGGCCACTTCTTCCCTGCCAGGCAGGCCGCCTCTCTGTGACTGGTGGCGCACAGGTTCCCTCAGTTGGGCCTCGCTTCAGGAACGGGGGCAGTCGCCCATCCCAGCCGTGGTTTCTACTCTCGAGCGGCCGGCGCGCAGCGTCCTTGGTCGGGTCGTCCAGGCTGTCAACGGTGTTCGGAGCGTCCAGCAATGGGCGCGCCCGTGACCCCGAGACATGCGACGGGCGCCCGTCCCGGGCTCGTTTCGTGCCGTGCTTAAAAACGCCCGGGAGCCCCACATCGCTGGGATGACCGAAGCCCGGGGCCGTTTGGTCCCCGGCACCGATGGAGTCTGTG